CCCCCTCCTCCAAAGAAGTCTCCCCCCCCTCCATACCACTACTCATCACCTCCTCCACCTAAAATGTCTCCCCCTCCACCATACCACTACTCATCCCCTCCTCCACCGAAGAAGTCCCCCCCTCCTCCATACCACTACTCATCCCCTCCTCCACCGAAGAAGTCCCCCCCTCCTCCATACCACTACTCATCTCCTCCTCCACCAAAAAAGTCTCCCCCTCCACCATATCACTATACATCCCCACCTCCTCCTAAGAAATCTCCACCTCCTCCATACCACTACTCATCTCCACCTCCTTCAAAGAAATCCCCCCCTCCACCATACCACTACTCATCTCCTCCTCCACCAAAAAAGTCTCCCCCTCCACCATACCATTATACATCTCCTCCCCCTCCAAAAAAATCTCCCCCTCCTCCATCTCCATCACCACCACCTCCATACTACTATAAGTCACCACCACCACCATCGCCATCACCTCCACCACCCTACTATTATAAGTCTCCACCACCCCCAACTCACTCTTCACCTCATCCATACATTTATGCATCACCTCCACCACCAAAACACTACTAAGATGTTAGAGGGTCAATTTGAAGTGTAACAACATGCAATAAGTTGCTATTTATTTCCTTTTTTTTTGTTGTTTAAAAAACAAATTCCTAATTTGTTTAATTTATCAGTCTCTGTGTAATCAGGATCGAGATTGTAGATCCATGGTGAATTCTTTTATATGGAGAAGGGATCATTGTAACATTTCTTTGTACCATTTTCCAATGTAATAGTTGTAATTGCATTTGAAAGGATAAATATCACATTACATTTCTCATTCTGTTGAAATTTTATAATTTTGCTCCTTCCAAGTTTGAAAATCAATGTCTTGTTATTAAATGTCTATTGGCCCTACGTTGATTTCATTGTTTGCTGTGTCTTTTTCGATTCAAAACTCCGAAGACATATATTCGTTAATTCAAGGGAAGCAAATAAAAGTGTAATTCGCAAGTCCCAAGTATGTGTTTGTTTTTAAAAACAACGATGTGGGTTTCCAAATTATTATTATTATTTTTTTACTTTAACCTAAGCCATGTATGTCAGTACCTCTAATCTATGATAGTCTATTGAATAACTTTCTAAACAGTAAGACAATGTAGGAATTAATATAAATTAGGAGACAATGTGATTGTTTTGTACACTTATTTTGGTCAAAGATTGATTAATTACGTATCTATTGTATACATTATTTTGGAAAACACACTGTATTAATTATAATATGTTGGATCAAGTGAGGAATAACAGAAAAGCATGTGTTTAGGTAGCCAGCTACAAATGAAAATATTCTAAAGAAATATATATAGTATAGGTCATGTACTTTGACTTATAAGTAAAGATATGATATGGACCGAATAGTGGATTGAAACGTTCGAGAGAGTTCAATTTATGCTCTAATCACTTTCAATACAAGCCGAATGTTAACAAGTGAACTTTATTTTATGTGTAAATAAACAAGTCAATTATGTCCAACAAAATTGTGCACATGAATTTCTACCCCTTGTGTATGGCTAGGTATAGGACTTTAGAAATAAAAAGGACTCTTGAAATTAACCCGATCAAGTTTTACACTTCGATCTAACCCGGTGAACTAACTAAGTCATTCAAATTTCATCACATCAATTTAACCCGATCAAGTTTTACACTTCGATATAACCCGGTGAACTAAGTCATTCAAATTTCATCACATCAACGTAAAAAAAAAAAAAATGTTCCAAATAAACCACAGCCTAAATTTAATGATATGCTATTAGTGTTGGCTTCAAGTTTCTAAGAGATGCTTTCCAACTTGATTCTTGGATCTTATTTAATTGATTTTGTCTTGTAAAGAAACTCTTATAAAAAGATAAGAGTGCCTAAAATATAACTTCGGGGATGATGGTGCCACAAATAGGCCCAAGTCATAGATTTAGAAGAAAGTATGCGCTACACAATCCAAAAGACATTGTTTTCCAACAAAGCAAACCCCCAACAATATTCTATGTGTGATCTTTGTAAACAAAAAACTACTTGTCCATGTACAGATTGTTCCAGTGTTCTTCTTCTGTTTGGCATAATAGCCTATATATATTTAAAAAAAAAACGTCCGCATAATGGCTAAGCAATGGACTATAAAAACTGTAACGACGACCTCAATTTCTTCTTATTTGATTATTCTGTGGGCACCCTTTGGGAAGTGGATGAGTCCACTACAAATAGACATGAAGGAAATTGCACAATCAGCATATAGACAAGGTTTCATATCTATACAAACCCAAACATACATACAATTTATCTATTAGATATATCAATTAGAATTCAACGTAGCATTAACAATAAATTAATTTCATAATATAATTTAATTATTTTAATACAAGAGTTAATATAATTTTATAGTTTTGAAGCACTAACTAGACGTAAAAGGAAGTTACAAATTTCAACCAAAAAGCAGGTTCGGAAGGTCCATAAAAGTGACTTGCTATTAAGCTATAAGCCTGAAAAGGATAATTAATGAGAGTGTGAGTTCAACAACTCAGTGAATAAATAATATTCAATATACACACATGAAGTAATACAACAACGAAAAACATATATACAATTGGCTTTAGGTTCTTATAGTAAGGTTCCTCAAATAGGCCATAACAAGAACATCATAAAGTAAAGTTCGTCAGAAAATCAAATTGCAATGAGCATAAGGCTTTGTATTGTGGGATGATCAATCTACACAGGTTGGTGACTCCCCCGACCAACTAGGGTTCAGATATGATGTGCATAAAGATTAACATTACCCTGTTAGCATGGGTATTCTGACTAGCATACCATAGGTTCATAATCATAATCAAACAGACACAGTTATATCTCAGTGCTCAGCTCATGACATTAATCAAATGAGGAGCTATCAATTCAAAAGCCAATTCAAATTATATATTGGTTCATATCAAGAATTTAGATTCAACAATTGATCATGCTTTATCATAACAAAGATAATAATCATCATATATATTATCGAAAAGCATGATCCAATTCATATTAACAAATCAAATATTTATAATATTTCTCATGCATATGAAAAATTATTCACTCGTCTGACTCAAAAGCAAACAAAAGCCAAAAGCAGACACCAAATAAAATCCTATTGTCATCCTGCCGGTAAAATATCAGGATTATTTGAATACAAAAGAGACATATTCAAGAACGACTCGAAATAAAATTTAACCCATTTAATACACTTAACTAAGGGTGCATTATGTAACCCTATATATTTTTGAACCAACTAATCAAAAACCCAAATTCTATAACTTATATGTTTTTGAACTAACTAGTTATTTTCCCAAAAATTAACGGTTTTTCCGAAATCTAATCCATAATAAAACAAATAATAAGACTTGATAATAATTCACTAAATAAGCATCGTTTATTCATAAAACCAATCTAAAAAGGCTAATATTACAGCTAGGGACCAATCTGGAATTTATCGTATTTTTACGGCCAAATTGTAATTTTCATCTAATTGGAGGACCAAACTAAACATATCATAAATTCATGAATATAGTGGAATTATGTCCATAATTCATCCTCATTTCTGTCCAGAACCTCTAATTATGCTCCAGGGACCATCCTGGAATTTTTACAAATTTTTAGGGTCAAATTGTAATTTTTGTCAAATGGAGGACCAAACTAAAATTGTCATAAATCCATGACTATACTGAAATTCTGACCATAATTAATCCTAAATTCTGTCCAGAGTATCTCATTATGCTCCAGGGACCATTCTGGAATTTTACCAAATTTTTAGGGTCAAATGGTAATTTTTGTCAAATTGAAGGACCAAATTGAGAGTTTTAAAATTTCATAACTATACAGTAACTCTGCCCATAATTCATATGTTATTCTGCTCAAAATCTTGGAATATGCTCCAGGGAAAATCCATAATTTTTCACAGTTTGGGGACTAAACAGTAATTTTCATAAATCGAGGGACCAAACTGAAATTTTATCATCTTCAACCTCCAACCCAAAATTTTAACAGAAAATGTACTGTTCTCTACAAATTTATAACAGAAAGTCACTATTCAAACAAAATCATAACTCAAAATTATCATATTTCAATTCAATCTCTCAAAATCAACCAAATAATCAAATACCCACAATAAATAACCCTATAACATTCAAATTAACTCATCAATCAAACTCAAAACACAATCTTTAAAACCATAACATTCATCAAAACCGAAATTAAATTTCAATTAACATACATTTAACAACCTAAATCTTACCTTTAAACTTATTTCTTCAATTCCTTTCTATTTCGCTTCTAATTTCTCTCTTTTCTCTTCTTTTTCTTCCCCTTTTCTTCTCTTCACCCGTCAGTTTTTCACTTTTAAGACACAACTTTCTTCTCTCTTTTTTCTTTCTATTTATATTTATCAAATTTTATTGAATTACCACAATGTCCTTCATTCATTTATTCCTGCATCTAAGTTTTCAATGGTATGTCAAACAAGTATAGTATAAACTCTTATTATTCAATTGAAAACCACACACAAAGGAGGTTCCAATCATAATATAGATTGTTAACATGATTACATTAGTCATCTTATTCAATTAATGCTAATACTTGTAAATCTCGTCAAGCATTCATGATTATAACTTATGTTAACAACAAATTAAGTTCCTTTCATAGCTCAGGTGTCAGTTATATGATATAGTATGGGCTATGAAAGTGCTAAGCATTTGTTGTACTAAGTGTTATACAACATAAATCAAAATTAGTTATTTAACAAGCAAAGTATTAAAAAATAAACAAGATAACAAATACAAAACATGTTAGTATCAAATATTAAAGTTCATATTAAGTTTACATTACACTTATTCTTACACCATTAGTGTAACCTTTTCACCTTGACATAATAAATTTAACTAAACATAATGAAATAAAGAAAAATAAATAAACAAAATAAGAATATAAATAAGATAAAAGTTAACTAAGTAAATGAAAGGAAATGAAAGGCATAAACTTGATATTAATGAAAGCAAAGCATAAACATTACAAAAAATACAAAGAGAGAAAACAAGATAATGATCTTGATCTACAAAAAATACAAAGAGAGAAAGGAAGAGCATGATCTTGATCTGGAAACCAAGATGTCTAAATGCATGGCAAATGCCTCCTTTTATAGGCCAAAATTGGGAACTATTGATTTGATGACTAATTGATGAGTGGGTGGTCAACTCTTGACTTGGTAACAATCATTATCTTCTCTTGTCTGCCCAAAACGTCATTGATAACGTCAAAATTAGAGTCACTCACGAAAGTTGTAGGAAATTGTCTCAGCTTTCTTATTTTAAAAATTCAGCTTATTTGGACTTCTACAACTCCATATATGGGTCAAACACTGAACAGTGCTCGGGCTGGAAAACAGATTCAGACTTCTTTGTTGTTGCTACAATTTGGACTTGAAAATGGCCTTTTTAGATCTTGGGCTCCATATGAAAGTTATAGGCCTATGTCTTACCTTTTCATCCATATAAAATAGACCTAAATCTGAGATATATAGCTCTAGATATGACTCAATTACTGAAACTCAATTACTGAACAGTGTTCCGGTTTGAATTGCATCGACATCTCTTTTATAAGTTTGGCCATCTCTTTATCCTTTAATTTCAGTTCTTAAATTTATCAATCAATCCTTTTATTTATGTGATAAGCCTGCATTTAAAATGAACATTTACCAGAAATTAAAGGTTTCTTA